TTGAGAGTAGTCCAACCATCAATATTATTGTCTTTGGATGTATCGTGAGAGTCTCTCTCTTCAGAGTAACTCCTCGCAATATCAACTGCTGCTATGTCGATAGTCTCCAAGCATGCCGATACAGCCTCATAAGCAAGGCTTTGGAAAGTCGTTGTCTCCAACACAGGAAGTATCTCAGCCAATATCCATAACGTCTTTCCCAGTGTTGGGTACCTGCCCAGCATTAAATCAATGCTGCCGACATCACTCTCCTAATCCATTACCAGCCTCTGGTGGATACTCTCATTAATCGGCCATAAGCATCAATCTCGGGATGGACCTGATAGACATGATGGGTAGAATTCATGACAAGGGCCTACCGTTAGTGCATCATGTTCGAAAAGCCGCAGAGGATACTCAAGGTCCTCTTTAGATGGGACAAAGCCACGGATATCATCTCTTATGTAGGTCTGTGTCCTGTATATCAGCCTTTCCTGCACATCCTTCAGCAACCTAACTTTGTTGTAGGCGGTATGGCAGGAGTATGAGGAACATCTCACCTGTACACCACTGACAGGACAGGAACAAGCAGAGAGTTCTCTTCTGAACGTCCATCGGCATCAGGGGGCTGCTTCGCTCGGTTAATGTCGTAGGAGTCGAATCCTTCTGGAGCCAGGATCTGATAGGTAGAATGGAGCATCGAGCTTGAGCGTTGCAAACGTACCTCTCGCGAGATGAGCTCTGCCAAACTCTTCAGAGTCTCGACCTTCTGACAGGAGACAATTTTGGATCGAAGGAACCTATATCCGCTCATGGGGGAGTCCTTGAAGACAGACGACTCACGCATAGAGAGGCTTGCCATAACAATTGCTGAGGAAGCCTTCAATAGGTTCGTCTGCTCCTGGGGCTAAGCCAGTGGACTGGGAAGCACTCGGAGACCCAGTGGCTATACTGCTCGCATCGCCACCTGCATAGTGATGATAAGGATAGGCTGTTTTAATAGGAATAGTATGACCGAAGTATTGAGTGTAAGTCCTACACTCCGCTTTGGCCAAGGACAGGACCTGTCGGCAGACCTAGAAGAGTGAGAGTAATGATGAGCGTGATGGCAAGAGTCGAGTCACATGTCTCGTGTATGGTAATATCTGACTCTCCTCTCCTTCAAGTATATTCT